GGTAAAATGTAACAGAAACTGGAGGGTTCTAAGGTAAAATCTGACAGACCCTAGAGGGTTCTGAGGTAAAATCTGACAGATCCTAGAGGGTTCTGAAGTAAAATCTGACAGAAAGTAGAGGGTTCTGAGTCAAATCATGAGAGAACATACTATGTTCTGAGGTGAATTCTGTCCCAAATTGGAGGGGTGTGAGGTAATATATAACAGAACCAGAGGGTTCTGAGGTAAAATCTGACAGAATCTAGAGACTTCTGAACTCAATCTGATAGAAAAAGAAGGTTTCTCAAAAACCTGACACAAACTATTGGTTCTAAGGTAAAATCTATGAGAAATGAAGAGGTTCTGATTTAAAATGACCTAAGTAAGGAGGTCATGAAGGAGTTTTGTGTGATTTCTGAGGGTAAGAAGGAGATTTCTGAGGCTTTTTTTGTGGGAATGGAGGTTATTTCTGAAGGGTTTCTATGTGAAAGTGGGAAATTTCTAAAGTTATTCTGAGGAAAAGACAGAGATATCTGAGAGAAACTAGGAAATACCTGAGAGAAAGTTAGATATTTGTCAGGGAAAGGTGTTTTCTCAGGGAATTTTGCAGAAAATTCTGTATATTTCTGAGATAATTCTGAGATTAAGGAACAGATTTCTGAGGGAATTCTCAGAGATAGACATTTCTTCAGGAATTCTGTGGGAAAGCAGGAGATTTCTGATAGAAATAAGATTTCTTTAGGGAATTCTGAGGGAAAGAAGATTTCTGAGAATTCTGAAGTTTAAAAAAAATCTGACTTCTGAGGGAATTCTAAGAAAAAGAAGGAGATTTCTGATGGAATCTGAGGGAAAAGAAGAGATTTTGAAGATTTCTGAGAGAAGGATTTGAGAAGGGTTTCTGAGAGAAGGTGGGTGAGTGGAATTGTGCTTGAAGGAGAGTATGAGAGAGCTCTGAGAAAATGAAATTGAGAGGAAATTCTCGGAAAATGAGATTTAGAGGGTATTCTGTAAGAAGTGTAATGCCCCTGCTTTTATTTGTAATTTTAGTTATATGTGCTTTCTCTCTCCTTTTTTTCAGTAGTGTTGCTAGGATTTATCAATTTTGTTTCTTTTTTATTTGACGTTGGTGATTATTGGTTTTCCATTTTCTATTTCATTTATATCTGCTCTAATGTTTTTATTTTCTTTCTTCCACTGGTTTTGGATTAAGTGTGCTCTTCTTTTTCTAGCGTTAAAGTGCAAAATTCAGTTGTTGATTTGAGATCTTTCTTCTTTATTAATGTATATGTTTGTAGCTATAAATTTTCCACCGAGGTCCTCTTTTGCTGCATCTCATAAGTTTGGTTTTATTTTTATTTTCATTCATGCTTAAATTATTTTCTAATTTTTCTATCTTTTTCTTCTTTGACTCACTATTGTTAAGTATGCATTTGTCAATTTCCACATATTTGTTGATTTTCCTGTTTTTCTTCTGTTACTGATTTCTAGCTTTATCCCATTATAGTTCAAGAAGATAGTTTGTATGATTTCAATTTTTTTAATTTATGAAAAAATGTGTTATGTGCTAACATAAAGATGCTTCAGTATATCCTGAAGAATCTTCCATGTGCGCTTGAGTAGAATGTGTATTCTGTTATCACTGGGTGAAGTGTGTTTTATATGTCTGTTAGGTTTAGTTGGTTTAGAGTATTGTTCAAATCCCCTATTTCTTTTTTAATTTTCTGTCTAGATGTCTTTCCATTATTTAAACTAAGGAATTGAGGTCTCCAACTATTATTGTAGAACTGTCTTTTTCTCCTTTCACTTCTGTTAGTTTCATTCATATATTTTCTGGCTCTGTTGTTTGGTGTGTATATATTTGTAATTTTTAAATCTTATTGTAGCTTGACCCTTTTCACTACAAAATGTCTCTTGTACAATTTTTTAACTTAAAATCTATATTATTTGATATTAGTATAGCCAGATCAGCTATCTTTACTGCTATTTACATGGATTTGCATAGTGTTGATAGCAAAATTTAGATTATGATCTAGGCAAGTGGCAGTGGTTCAAAAATAAATTTTTGTCATGTTATTGCTTATTCATTTATCTGAAGTTAGTTTAAAAGTGTCAAGAAATGTCTTATATATGTATATGTATTTTCTTCAAGTGTGTGTACTATTTATTATAGAATTCATTTTTTCGAGATCATAAAATTGCTTGTATTTATTTGTAGCTAAAAGCTGATACTATAAACTTTCGTTTACTGTATGTGTTATGTCCCAGTTACATTTACAGTCTACATAGTCAACTATAGTTCTCAAATAATAATCATACTAATTGCTACTGGATTATCATATGTTTATGTACATGTGTATCATGTTTATGTGCACGTGTATGTACATCCATTTTAATGTATATTTAAAGTGGGCATCAAGTCAGTTTTATATCCATAATACCCAACAGACTTATATTTTGACTTCTAAGACTCTAGAAATATAGATCACATATACTTTTTTCATTTAAAATTTACTATAGGTCTTTATTTGTACAATTCTGAGAGTATATTGGCTACATGTGTGCCATGCTTTGCTCTCCAGTTATAACCCTATACAAAAATGAGAACATTTTGGTGATATCATTTTATAGAAGTAAATTGAGGGAGCTAATTCAATGTCAGTTTACTATACTTTAAAAATATCAGTTTCTCTTTAATTGAGAAAAAATTCAGGTATAAGCTGTTAACGCAATATGATTTAGAAATATATGAATTTGATAATTTTTTTCCTTTTGTGAAAATTATTTTAAAGCCCATAGTGTTTACTGACAAGATTATTTACATTTTTAGAAGCACCTGCCATAATACTTTGCTAAAACAATTTATTATTGAAAGAATTCATGTGTATCTATGAGCAATTATAAGGAAGTTAAAGTTGCAGAATAATCTGTGAATATTCTTACCTGTCCTTCTCTCCCTCAGAATTGTTGCTCATTGTTTTATTTCTCCATGTTGCTTCCAATCTTTAATAATCCTCCAGGATTAGTACTTAATCCCAGCAAACAAAAAAAGCAAGTCATCCTTATACATTATGATGAGGAAAAGAAAAATTTCATCAAGAAGAGATGAGATATTAGTTAAGTATTCCCCACAACCATCAACTTTGTGCTCAGCACCATGGAATTTATAGTAAGAACAGAAATATAGAAAGTCAAGGACAACAATACAGAAATTGTTATTCAGTAAGCATTTAGCATATATGAAGTATGTGAAATGTACAGTCATATGTCTCATACAAGTAAGTTTGCTTTCCTGAAAAGGAAATAGGTTAGATGATGCTATTAAGTAAAGCAGAGGTTAAGACTTGAGTTCTAGAGGAAGACTGGCCATATTCAAAACCTGGCTCTACTGCTCTGATAATGTAATTCTGGATAAACCACTTAATCTCTAAGCCTTGCCATTTTTGTCCATAGAGTAGGGATGATGATAGTAGTACATACCTCATTCAGTTGAAAGATGGTATTAGTACATTTTCAATAAAAGCTTAGTCGTCTTGTAGCTAAAAGCTATTGAAAAAAGTATCTATTCATTAAATAATTGGGTGAAATGTTTGCTTTTAAAAACATGTTGACCAGGTCAGAAACTGTTGCATAAATTGTGTGAACATTCATGTTTTTACATTTATTTGTTAATTTATATAAAAAACAATGTGTGCTTCTATAGTGCATTTGTTTCTAAAAGAATATAATATAATTGGATATTACAAGTTATTTCCAGAAAGGAAAGAATATGATGAAAATCATCATAATTATCTATAAAGTTCCATTTATTAAATATTCAGCCTTTTTTCAAGTACTGTTTTTCTCATCAGGGTTTGATTGCAGCATTAAGGGGATACTTAATAAAAAGCCATTGCTGAATTGATTTTTTTGTCTTCCTCAGAGACAGTCTATGCTGAGTAGAAAATGTAACAGGTTTACTGATAATTTTCTTTGTTTATCTATTCTATGCACTATTCCAGAAAGGAACAGTGTAAGATTTCTGTTAATGAGTTAGTTTGACTTTAATATCTGTCAATTCAGTAAAGGAGAAAAAGCTCAATCAAATCATATGTTATGTTGATAAAACAATATATTTGAGTTTTTTAAACAATTCCACTTCACGCATTTTTGCACAGGTCATACTGTTTGAAAACATGTTCTGACTTATGCTTTTGTAGCTTTTAAGAGGAACTGAATTCTGACTACCTCAAAAAATTATTTTGTTCAGCCCAGTAACACCTATTGAACATTGAATAGATACCAGATAATGTTCTGGATATGGTCTTCAGAAACAGATCAGGGACCCCAAAGGATGTATTTCAATGAAATAGTGTCACTTTAATGCCCAAAATGGTTATCTCCTAGTTTTACTACATGTGTGATGCTTCTCAAATGTTTCCCCACAGCAATACTTTATAAAGCATCCTATACTTCTCCTTTGGAGCAGCAGGCTTCACATTTATAAATATTTGTAATGATTACTGTTTTGGTAGAATACAAGTTCCAAGAAGAGAAGTCCATCTTATTCATTACTACATCCCCAAATTGTAACATCCCCAAATAACTGGCACTGAGCAAGTATTTAATACATTTTTATAACATGAAGGACTTTCTGAAGTTACTTCTGCTGGCTACCAGTCAGTGAACACACCTAAGGTGTGGAGCAGAGTCCAATACTGCCTCTAACAACCAGAAAGCATCTTTGAAAAAATCTGTTTTATTTATCTTTAAAATTCATGTGACTTTTAAATTCTCATCCAGCATCCATTTCTTTTAATATGTGTTTTGTTAGTCCCCCCAAAAAGGGACATGTCAGGGGTATGCTGCATAGTTTAAAGGATACAGCTATGTGAGTGTTTTGGAAGTAGGACTCTATTCAAAGTCTGTCTTGAGTTTTTAGCAAACATCTTAAACTCAAGTTAGCATCTGAAAGATTGGTTTAAGAATATTTATCTTGACAATTTTGTTGTTTTTAAAAGAGCAAAATGCAAATATGCTTAAAGTATTTGGCATGCATGATATTTATTCACATATTGGCTCCTTTTCCCCCTCTTACTATTAATAGAAAACTTCTAGTTTCCCTTCCAAGAACCTCAATTTATCTCTGGTTCTTTCCATTAAGTGTACATGGTCAATAACTGTCAATGAAGAAGTGAAAGTATTCTTCATCTTTGATCCACAGTTACGGCTTTGCATCTAGAAAACAGAATTCTTTTATCAAGTATATTAAACATCTTGTAGATGAAAATTTTCTAGTGAAAAATTTTAAACAATGTCCACAAAGAAAAATTAAATTGAATTTTTATTACTACTTATTTAACACAAGTTTGCTTAGACAAGTAAGAATTTATAGAATCTGTGCTTTATTGCACGGCACAGAAATCAGACATACAGTTACACTATTATAGCGCGGTTTGCGGGGAATTATGGGTGGTTTGTCTGGAATACATGAAGATGTTTAGTGATCGTTGCAAGGAATCACAAAAGAGATCTTCGGTCCAAAGAAGACATCTCTGAAAAAGAGTAGAACATGATTTAAATCCAGCTGGAAATTAAGATATATATTAGTCTTTGCTGGGCTAAAAATGGATAGTGATTTCCAGGATTTCAGACATAACTGTTTTTTTTAGGTGAATAAAGTACAAAGAGAATGAGTGGGAAGACGTGCCACAGGAGCAACAAAGATCAAGAAGGTAATCAATTCTTCTACTTTTCCCCATTTGCCATTGACATTATGCTATCATTTATTGATAAAGAAAAGCAAAGACTGGGTGACTTCAAAACATTACAATCATACCAAAAAATTCACTTCTCTGTTATGGGTGGGGATGGGCCATAATGTTTAAATCTACTGATAAGAAACAGAAGTTTAAAATTTTCTAGGGAAGCAAATAAATACATTTCTAGGTTTTATAGGGAAAGGTGAAATGTTGAGCTACTCAACTTTACTCTTGTTGGAAAAATCACTTAAGGTGATATATAAAAATGTGATGCTACCTTCTGTACTAATGTTATGTGTAATCGAAATATGACCCACAGGACTTGGAATTATTAAGGTGGGAAAATATGGATCAACTAACTAGGAAAATGAGGGCTGTTTGTAATAAAATGCCACTCCATTTGAAAAAAATGCATGGAATAATATAAAATGATATGTATGTGCAAGGTAGTGTTATGATTATGGCTAAGTAGAAATATACTTAGCATACAGCGTACAACATGATAACCATAACTAACACTGTGTATGATATATTTGAAAGTTTCTGAGATAATATATCTTAAAAGTTATCACAAGGAAAAACAATTTTTTGACTATGTGAGGTGATTTGTGTTAACTGCACTTATTATGGTAATCATTTCATAATACAGTTGACCCTTGAACAATACAGCAGTAGGAGTACTGACCTTCTGTGCAAACAAAAATCCGTGAATAACTTTACAGTCAGTCCTCCATACCTGTAGCTCAACGTTGGAGAATTCAGCCAATCATAGATGATATAATGCTATAGTATGTATTTAGTGAAAGAAATTTGCAGGTAAGTGTACCTATGCAGTTCAAATATGTGTTGTTCAAGGGTCAACTGTCTAGTTCTTTCAACTCATTGGGCTGTACACCTTGAAGTGAACAGTGCTGTATTTAACTATATCTCAGTGCAATTGAAAAAAAAAAGATGCAAAATTTGTGTTTACAGGTTAAAAAAAAAAGAAATATACTTAGCTATTTGTTGCTACTGCGACAGCAGTAACCCAAAATCAGATAGAAACTACTTTCATATATTCATACTTCTATCTCATCCATTAACAATGGATGATCACAAAATTATAAAATAACTACATTTCAGGAAATCAGTTTCAAGCCTTATAAGAAAATTTTAAGTATGATATTTTAATGTTAGGTGGCATTTCATTTATGTAGGAAAAGTTAAGTCATTTTATGGAATCAGTTAACTTGAGTTCTTGATATCATTTTCTAATCAAGTGATTCTCACATTTTATGATGCATCAGAATCACTCAAAGAGTTTAAACCATAATTGCTTTGCTTCCTCTCCATTGTTTCTAATCTAGCTGGTTTGGTCTGAGGTCCAAGGTTGAATTATATTTTTAACAAGAACTCAGCTAATACTGGAGCTGCTGTGCTGGGAACCACACCTAAAAACCAACTGGCTTGGTAGAAAAATTACCTGGTCCAAATCAGAAGTCTTGGGTTCTAGTGTCAGAGCTGATACTAACTAGTTATGTGGTTGGTGCTTGTCATTTTACCTCTCTGCACCTTTCCCTGATAAAGCGGTTTTATCTGTCCTTTCTCTCTCACAGATTTCTTAGAAAAATGAAAAAATATGATGACATATGTTGAAAGTAATTTGGAAGAGCTAATTTCAGATGAAATAGGCAAGATCATAGTATTTGAGATTCCCCAATAACCAGGAAAAGATTACATTAAAGTCAAGAGCTAAAAATCTTTATTGATTTATCTACCTTTGTACTATACTTAAAATACATCTACTTTCCAAGTTGGTAGAAACTTCAATTTAGTTAATTTCTGGTTAACTCATATATAAAACTAGAAAGTTTTTCTGTCACTATTACCAAACTTTTCCATCCTGTTACTTGATCTGTTCACTGGGATCTTTTATCCAAAACCTTTTAATAGACTGGAGTGTTCTTAATTTGTCTTTCATTCAGCTTTACTAAAATCTGCCAAACTCTGTCTCTTAAATGAAAACATCCAGTTCAGTACATAATGTTGATGATCCTAAAAAATAGCTGAGATCTGAATAGGATCTTATTGCAAAGGGTGATAAGTTTCAGCAAACTCCTTGTGAAGGTTTCTGAAGCAAGTTGTCCTGCAAACATTTGACAACCGTACGTTTTGTGGCTGCATTTCCTTACTTTGGGCAGCAGAGCAGTTCGCTGAAGTTGCAGTAGCAGATCATCTCACATCCCTTCCCATCCCAGAAGTGATCCTGGACTTTGACATCAATCTTGGTCAGGTCAGCCACTCCTTCTGGAAGACTGTGACAGTTGCGATCTTTTAGTATTTTTCTGTAGCAGGAGAGGCGGTTTGCAGGCATGGCTTGGAGTCCCAGCAGCAAAGTTAGTCCAACGGCGACAGCAAGTACTGTAAATTTCATTTTGGCTCTTGGCTCTGAGATAGAAGAAAACCCAACATGTGTCAGTGTTTGTTTGTTTCGTAGGTTTTTTTAAAAGGATGGAGCTCACCTGAACGTAAAGTTCTGCAGCATCCTCATTAACTCTTAAATTGAAAGAGTCGGAATTGGTTTTTTTCCTACTTTATTTGAATGTCTTTCTCAAAGTTTTATGACTATCTACAATAAAAACCACTTATTATATTTCTTTAAACTGACATGCCTGAGCTCTACAAAAAAATATTGAATGAGGGTTGTGTGAGGGAGGGAGAAGGAGAAAGTGGGAAGAGCCACTTGCATTTTCAAGTACTCAAATTCATTAAAATTTTTGTTGTTGTTGAGCTGTAATTTTCATACCATACAATTCACTTGCTTTACTTGTACAATGCAATGATTTTTGGTATATTTACAGAGTTATGTAACTATCATCACAGGCATGGAGTTGTTCTTGTTTTTTATTTTTGACCATGAGGCATACGAAATCTTAGTTCCTTCAATCCAGGGACTGAACCCACGCCCCTTGAGTCTTACCTGTTGGACTGCCAGAGAAGTCCCCCAAATTCACTTTTTTCCCAGTATATTCAGTAGAGGAAAACGGCTTTTAAGATGATAAAACTGAAGTAAATTTCTAGAGTAGATATCATCATTGTGTACAGTGCTTCTTGACTTTGCATATCCTAACAACATTGTCAAATAACCTGGACCCCACCCTGACAGAAACAAAAAGCCTACTCGTCCTGACACTGACAGATTATATTCTATAGATATATTTACAATTAAGTTTTTAAAAGTTTCAGACTTATTTAGGGGACTGATTTTTGTTGCATATTTTTAGTAATTTGTGAACACTTCTCCCACATAGGTTACATCTGAGCCTCAGTTGAAAGCAAAGGCTTGAATTCCCTATAAGAGATCTTTAGCCTGTCCTTAGACACCCACCATTATGGGGAACTCTATTGTTGACTAAATCCACATATTTCACTGATATAGTTCTAATGTTTCCCTTCCTGGAAAATATTTTTCTGTGGCTTCCACCCATCAGTTCTAATTTGAACTCTTGTGGTCATACCAAGCAAGTTTAAATCCCTCTTTTAGGAGATAACACTTCAAGTATAGTATTTGTATGGAATATTCCAAAAGAAGGCACAGTGCCAAAGAACTGATGCCTTTGAACTGTGGTCCTGGAGAAGACTCCTAGAAATCCCTTGGACAGCGAGGAGATCAAACCTGTCAATCTTAAGGGAAATCAACCCTGAATATTCATTGGCAGGACCAATGCTGAAGCTGAAGCTCCAGTATTTTGGTCATCTGATGTGAACAGACGACTCACTGGAAAAGACCGTGATGCTGGGAAAGATAGAGGGCAAAAGGAGAAGGGGGTGACAGAGGATGAGATGTTTGGATGGCATCACCAGTACAATGGACATGAACTTAGGCAAACTTCGGGAGATGGTGAGGGACAGGGAGGTCTAGTGTGCTGCACTCCATGGGGTCTCACAGAGTCGGAACTGAGCGACTGAACAACATAGAATATTCATGATCTATTGAATTTAGCTTCTCTGGCCTCCATATTAAACATGAAGAGAATAGAAGTTTTTGCAGTAAAGGGAGACTAGCAAGATAGTGGAGGAGCCAGAATCAGACACCACAGCCGTTCAGATTTCATCTAACAAGATGCTGAAGTAACAGGTGCTGAAGTATCTTAAATGTTTGGTAGAATTCACCAGGGAGCCCATCTGGCCTTGGTGATTTCTGTTTTGGGAGGTTATTAATTATTGATTCAATTTCTTTAGTAGATACAGATCTAATCATATCATCTAAAGAAGGACACTCACTGCTTTTTATGAGTTTAGAAACTGAAAATACTCTTTCATACTATGACAGAGTTTTAGATTTTCTTTATTTTATATTCTGATTTGAATTAGTCATTTTTGGCTTTGCTTATATATTTTCTTAGAATTATAAATATTCAATTTAATTCTTACCCCCAAATACTAGCTAAAGGAAGGACCAAAAAATGAGATCTATTTCACTTTATGCTTTTTTCAGANAACTGAAAATACTCTTTCATACTATGACAGAGTTTTAGATTTTCTTTATTTTATATTCTGATTTGAATTAGTCATTTTTGGCTTTGCTTATATATTTTCTTAGAATTATAAATATTCAATTTAATTCTTACCCCCAAATACTAGCTAAAGGAAGGACCAAAAAATGAGATCTATTTCACTTTATGCTTTTTTCAGATTTGAGAGAACAAGGCACTACAGTGATGCATTACATCACAATCTAGTATGGATAGAATAATACCTTCCAATAATAATACCTTACACTTTGCAAATTGTAGCATAAGTTGCATTTTTTTAAAATGTAATTCTATGAGGTATTTAGTTCTCAGTTACTTCTGATTCCGGCCTTCTTTCCCCATAAGGTAATTGACGTTAAAAAAAAAAAAAAGAGTTACATTTCCTGACATTTTTTTCAGATTACTCTTCAAAGAAGGGTAATTAAATCTCTTGTTAATTGAGCATTTATTATATGCTAAGAATCAGCACAGTCATTAAGCTTTAAAAGACATATTGAAGTCTAAGACGGAACTGTACTGTGCAAGCAAAGTTTTTTTTTTTTTTTAACAGCTTTATTGAGGTAAAATTGACATATACTAAACTACAGATATTAGAGGATACAGTTTGGTAAGTTTGGGCACATGTATGTTCCCATTATACCATCACTGTAGTCAAGATGGTGAGAGGATCCATCAGCCCTAAGTTTTCTGCTGCCCTCTTGTCATTTCTCCACCTCACTCATCCCTGACCCCCACTCCCATCCAGACAACCGCTGACCTGTTTTCTCACCTGAGATTAAGGTGCATTTTCTCCAGTTTCATATAAATGGAGTATAAAATATGTACTCTCTTTTTATCTGGCTTTTATCACTCAGTATACTTACTTTGAGAGACATGTATCTGTCCATTGCCTGTATCAATAGCTAACTCCTTTTTATTGGTGAGAATTATTGCATTATGTATGCTATAAATTGTTATCCATCCATCTGTTGATGGATATTTGAGTTTTTTTAAGTTTCAGGCTGTTGCAAAGCTGTTATGAGCACTTGTGTACAAGGCTTTGCAAGGTCATAGCTTTCATTGTGTGCATGTGTGTGTGTGCTCAGTTGTGTCTGACTCTTTGCTACCCCATGGACTGTAGCCCACCAGGCTCCTCTGTCCTTGGGATTTTCCTTCTCCAGGGGATAGCTTTCATTAGTCTTGAGTATATACCTGTGAGTGGAATAGGTGGGTGTATGTTTTACTTCTTAAGAAATTGCTAAATTGTTTTTCCAAAGTGGTTGTACCATTTAAAATTCCCACCAGCAGTCTGCAAGAGTTCCAGTTTGTCTATGTCCTCTCCAACACGTGATATGGTCAGTATTTTTTAATTTTTACATTCTGATAGGTGTCTTGTGGTTTCAGGTAGCATTTCCTTAATGATTAATGGTATTAAACCTCTTTCATATGTTATCTTCATCTGTGTATCTTCTTTGTTGACCTGTCCAAATCTTTTCCCATTTAAAAAAATTGGATTGTGTTCTTGAGTTGTGAGGGTTCTTTGCATATTCTGAACACAAGTTCTTTATTAGATATATACTTTCCAAGCATTTCCAAACATTTACTTCATCTATGACTTTCCTTTTCACCTTATTTAAAATAAGCAAATGTTTTAAAATTTTAAAAGAAGGAAAAGTTTAAAATTAATGAAGTATAATTTCTCAGTTTTTTAAAATGTAATGTGCTTTTGGTGTCATTTCTAAGGTCACAAGGGCTTCCTAGGTGGTGCTAGTGGTAAAGAACCTACCTGCCAATGCAAGAGACATAAGAGATGGGGTTCAATCCCTGGGTGGGGAAGATCCCCTGGAGGAGGGCATGGCAACCCACTCCAGTATTCTTGCCTGGAGAATCCCGTGGACAGAGGAGCCTGGCGAGTTACAGTCCATGAGGTCACAAAAGAGTTGGACACAACTTAGTGACTAAATGACAACAGCATATAAAATAAATAACAAAATCCTGCTCTATAGCCCAGGGAAGTGTACTAAATTTCTTGTAATAACTTATAATAAAAAAAGAATCTGAAAAAGAATATATAACTGAGTGACTAACACAACATTGTAAATCAACTGTACTGTATTTCAACAACAAAAAAAATTTTTAATAAAATTTTATCTTCCTTCACAGATTCTTAATCTGCCTTTCTTGCTCTAATTTTCCATGGAATTTATAAACCTCTAAATTATTATAAAATATTCTTATTGTGTCTCCCCCAAATTGAATGGAAGGAAGCTCCAGGAAGACAGGCTTTTTTCTGATATGTATCCCAAGCACCTTTAACAGTGCCTGTCACGTTAGTGAAAGAATAAATAATACATCCTCATCTCTAGATGCTTACAGCCAGAGAAGGATGAGTCTCTCAGATTGCTAAACTCAGTAGCTAGTTGCAGAGGGCTGTTTATAACTGGAAGAGGTTAGTGAGCTGCCAGATCCTTAAATTTGCATGTCATCAGGTACTATTGTTTTAATTTAAATAAATTAATTCATTGTATTTAACTTTTTCTAAATACTGACTTTAAAATGTATATCCCAATTTCTGGTTTTTGTTTGTTTGCTTGATTTTTGTCAAAACTAGCATTTGTTCTGGATGACTAGCCCATACTTGACTTAAAAATATATATATTTCTATGTATGTGTACAATTATGAGATGATTCGGCAACGAACATCACCTGCCTTTTCTGTAACCTCCCTCCCCTGATTCCTATCTTTCAAAAGGTTGGGAGTATGGGGAGGAGTTGGGAGGAGAGCTGTAAGCTCTTTTTAATCTTTTTGCCTTAATGTGTTAGAATTTTTCTGTTACTTTAGATTGTTGGCATTTTTCATATCTTTTTGAGCTTTGATCTTCCTAGTTGACTATGTAATCATGTACTTATTTTTGGTAATCTAGCTTAATTTTGTCTATCTTGTGACTTTTGAACAAACT